CACACCTATAAACCTGTGTTATTCCACTTATATTCTAAGAGAGTAAGAGTATTAATATCTAGGATAAACTAAAACAATAATAAAAAATAGTACGACAGCATTATTATTTACATACATTTACGAGTAAAATTGCGGGAATATTATTTAAACTCAGGTTAGGCTAACCTATTATAGCGAGTCAAATCACTCAACATTTTAGAAGAAAAAGTTTATTTATTAGCATTAGATTCCAGGGGCAGTCGGGTAGAGATCGAGAGACCTGACAAAATATTAATATTATCTTATCCTTGATATTAATAACTTAGCGAATCTTCACTATTAAACAACCCTCCTAAAACTTCATATTATCAAACTAGTCGTAGTAAACTATGATATTCAGCATGAATGATTCCATATGTTCAATCTGAAAAAGACAAGATAATAAGATCTGATAGATAATTTGACTTCATACTATAAAGTAGAATTTTTTTACTATAATATATGTGATGGTTATTTAGAGTTCTACAATTGTAATCGTTTGCTAGAGAATCTACAGATTTTCACATATACCAAACATTTGAAACTCTCATAAAACATATTGAGGATTTTCATATTTAACGTATTAACTTAGTTCAAAGTCAAATCTATTATGTCATAATCTAAAAAACTCTAATTAATCCTATTATGAAAGCGATTTAAAAAAAAACCTCAGTTGGCTATGATTTTAATTCAGATTAATTAGTCGACATAATAGAGCGCGTATGACTATTATTATGTCACTGGAAACTAGTGTTTATTATGTTTATTTTGATATATATATACATATATTTATTAGTATATTTACATAATCGACATCACGTCATATGTTCTGCATTATTTATTACTAATTATACAATATATCTATTATTGTTAACATTTATGGCGATTATTATATTACTTGTAACATTTAGGCAGTATAAAAACTATATTTTTTGCAGTTATATTCTTTTTAATCATTTTTCTAATTAAGGTTTAATTGTATTTAATTATCAGACAAATGCCAAAACTGGAATACAATAATAATAATAATAACAATGCCCCTAAATTAAAATGTATATAACAAAATAAGTGCCTCTTGACTTTTTCTAGGAAAGTCAGACCTAACATAAATGCTACAAATGAATATGTTTCATAATAGTCATTAATGTAGACGGATAAATTTACAAATACTATAAAATTAACGACATATGGTGTCCGTGGTTCGTGATCATGAAATCACTTACCTCACTGCGATGATTCCATTGTAATTACTGTTCTGACCGTCATAAAACAATAGGGTAGTTTATGAATAGATACTTTTATACCATTGTGCATTCAAAACATCTAATGTTTACATACTAATTATTATTCCTCTTTCCAATAACCAATAACAAGGAATAATTTTATGCACAGTTTTTATTCATGGTCAAGTATGAAGTATCTATAAGTGATTGGTGTTACAAATGCCATGTTTATTTAAATAATAATAATAATATATATAAGCTGCTCACAGAAAAATGTATTTCAATATTTCTACAATATTCTATCAGTTGTCTATTAATACAAACCCATAACACAAGCTCTGCTTAGCTTGAAACTTGAGCGGCCTGTAAATTATACTTTATAGATTTATTATTATTATACTCGTAATCTATTATTCAACCTTACTAAAGATAGGATGAGACTACAAATACAATATCAAAGTTAAAGTGTAATTTACAATAATAAAAAAACTTTGAATTCTTCAAATGATCGTTATGTAATCACAATTAAATCGCTCAAATATATTAATTACATTTGTTATACCGATAGCAAATGATCCCCGATAATGACAAAGGATAGAAGATAGTCAGTATTAGGTATAGTGCAATAATGGTGTAAATAAGCCTTACTAAAAGTTCCTTTTCAATCTACAAATAATTCGTGCGTACAAATCTTATCTACTCGTAATTTGTTCTACCTACATTATGTAGTTGCTGTCTAATAAATAATCCTATTATCTTTCGCGACCTTCGCGGCGTAGTGATAAGAATCTTCACAGGAATTAAATAACAGGATTCGTTCTAAGTCAAATAATGTTTCAGTTTTATTTTTTATTATTGATTTGCATCTAGACTTAACTCAGTATTGTCACAGATAACATAATATTACAGTATTGTGAATATCTGACACTTAATAGATTGATTATAATGAAAATATGACATATAAGTACCTACTTATATGTCATATTTTCATTATACAACTTATTTAAACTTCCAAATCTGCTTGATCATTGCTAATAGTTTTCGTTCAATATTTCAAGTTAGGATCTATTTTTGATATCGTATTGATGTATTGTTTCCCAGTACCTAATTAAACCTTACTTAAGTACTTGAAGCATCTACTTAGATCATATATAGTATTAAAACAAGCTCTTTTTTTTATTATTAGTCAATATGTGTTGCTTAATAAGTAAGTAGCTACACACTTACGTGATTTTGACGGTTGCTAAAGTGTTGGCGTGCATGGTGCGATATTATCTTGATGTGGTCGGGGGTGCGGCGCCATCTGTCGGGCAGATGCGCTGACGTCACGCGAAGCCCCGAATCGCCGCAGGGGCTTCTCTACCACGCGCCAATCTCCCCGTGCCAGCTGACCCATCCTGATTCTCCAACCTCATACACTTAATGACTTCCCCGTAAATATACTTGTAATAAAGTATAGCAGACTTGCTACTTTGAATCTAGTTCGATTTTTTGTACGAAGATCAAACTTGAACCAACTTCATTTCATTATGCATTTTTTGTAATTTACGTCGCATTTGTTGACAATTTTAATCTCAGTAGTAGTACTTATTAATTTTATATAAACTACCATTAGTATAGTACTATGTCATTTTTATAGTTTTACTTATAACGATTATTATATTTTTATAAAGAAGCAATGTTACTAAGCACTTAGGTACTTCATAATTTCAAATTTTATTTATATTCGCGACTTTATTCTCGTAACCGCGAAACATTGATTAGCCGAGATAACGATAAAAAAATGTGTAAAGCTTGGTAAGGTACCAAGAGTTAACAAAAAAAATAATATAATAAACAAATTCACACAATATTAAGTACATAAAATGCTTCTTAACTTGCTACTGAATCTAAATACAGCTATACTAAATCGCGATACGATATTTTACTGATCTATCAAATATTATCACATAAAATATTGAGATATTTTATTTTATGCGATATCTGTTGAATTGTTATGAATTGATAGTGGTATAAATAGCAGGTATTGTTTTAATGTTACAAGTCGAAAGAATCAGGGGATAGGGGAATCAGAGAATAAGAAACTAAAGGTCACTTTAGTTTCTTATTCCTGATTCTTATTAATACTTTAGTCATAATATTAAAAATAATTTACAAACTGAAGTATTAATACCTTACATATGTAGTTCGAAAATCGTAATAGTTGCTGATGAAAACAATGTGTAACGCAATATAGACCTAGGCCCCACAAGATGGAGAAACCATGGTCTCAAACCATTCTGTATTATAAAAATAGACAGGCTTTTTTCGACAATAAACAAAAATGTCACCATAGTGTAATAATAATAATGATAATTAACCATGGACAATTAACACAGCGCTATGTAGTCCCACGATCAGCAGAGTTCGCGTTATGACAAATATATTTTGAATTTTGAATTTGAATTTGCTAGTTTTCATATTTTTTTACATTATATCTTTTAAATGTACCTGCACGGTAAACTGTACATATCTGATATACAGTTTACACGTTTCTTCTATTATTATTTACGTTTCCGTTACGCGCCGTAGATTATATTCTGGAAAAACCGGGACACTAGTTTGGTTTCATAGAATATTATCACGACATAAAATTCTGTTATCATCAAATGAAATTGTAACTAACGCATGATATTCAATAATGTTTAAATACCTATTAGAGAAGTATGATGTAATATAAAATAAAATATATATAGGTACATTGGTTGGGTATAATAAAATCTATTATTAATTTCTGACCATCAGCGACCTCGATATAATCACGTCAATATAATAAACAAATAATTACTATAATCAATAAATTCCCTATTACTCAGCAACAAATGTCCTATAATATGAAAATGCTTTAGTGTATGATTGATTGACATGTACCGTAATAGAAACAAATAAGACTACCCTTCATTTCCGCCTAGCTTAGGATGTAATACCATGTTCGTCACCTCAGCCCACTTCCGCACAAATCCGCTAGGGGAATAGTATTTACTTTGATTTACTGTAATATTAACAAATACAGTTATATAACTCGAAGAAAAACTATATCATTTAGCTAATTTCATTTAATTTTAGTGTCTATAGATACTGTAGTAGATACTTTTTGGAAATAAATATTTAAGCAGAACGGAAAATATTAAAATGATAATGGTTACATTATAAACCGTTGTAAGTATATATTTATTTATATGTATAATCTTTATAGATTGACACTTGAAATATTTCAGAGATACAAAAGTGGTATATTCTATAAAAAATGCACAAATAGAATATTCCGTTATAGCCAGCATTATATTTTTCAGTAATCATATACATTCTGCCTACTTGTTAAATATCACAAACACGATAGGTATTATACAAAAGAAATTGTATGGGAATGGAAAATCCATTCGTTCTTTCCGGAAATTATATTCATTCCATTATATCTCTTATGGTAAATAAGAGATTATGTATACAGTGAAATTTTTTAGCCAGTTTTTAATCTTATAAATTAGATCTTTTGCATAGAAATTCAATATTTACTAGCTATAATCTCCATTCAAGTATATATAGTGGCGATGTACAAGATATAAATACTGTTGTTAAAATATTTCTTGAATTCTGGAATGATATATCGTTGTTTTTTATGCCTGTATAGTATATATATACATTATATATGTATTTTTAAAGAGTATTTTTAAAACATTTATATGAGTTACGATATATTATTATTACAATAACAGAACATACCTTTCCCATTTACGAGACCTTGAGAACAGAAAATAATCATCAGTAAAAATATTTTTACACACATGCGTATTAGGTACAAGTAATGATAAATTAAGTAGGCTTATTCAATTTCTTCGGCGTTCTTTATTCATTAAAAATTAATGTAATCCTGAATTCCCGTCATTAATAAAAATTAACTCCTATAAATATTACATTTTTATCAAATCTGTATTCATTTTAAAACTATATAAATTGCGATTGACCGATGAATACCTAAGCATTCATTCTAAGACAAACTCTGTTTATTGGAAGTTTTATCGCTTTAATATTTAAGGAAGAACCTATTTGATGTGTTAAAATATGTTGTCACTTTCCTTTCAATTTTAAATATTAACACGAAAGATAGAAGTTTATAAATTATATAATTTCGCTATGTTCAGTCATGATATTATATATAGTTTGAGTTGTGTAGGTGGAGCAAAAATATAATATCTACTTTTACATAGTAAAAATTAGTACGAAAACTACAAAAGAAACAAATATCTCTATGTCGTTGTTGTTTTATAATACAATAACATACCGCTGTCTCATTGCCATCAGATTTAATAAAAAAGAAAATGTATTGTAGGGCCCACATAAAAACAATGAACTTTCACACGAGAGGCTACCAAGTTGATTTAGTGTAGTTCATTTTGGAATCAAAGCGGAGAACTCTGGCTGCGGTGGAGTTGTAATTGAATTTGGTGAACAATCCGTTTTCCGCGACGCACCTCGGTTAGATTCCCAGCACGCACTTCGGAGTCAGAACCCACACACCTGCTCTCCTTTATTTTCCCATCCACTACTATTTGTGTCTTCTCGTATACATGCTCTACATCTGTTATATTACGCAATAGTGGAATCATATGTAGTCATTTATATCTGATGCTACTTTGAAATATAAATAAAAATACTTAAGTTTCATTTTGAGAATGAAATAAATATATAACTCAGCGATATCATTTATGAGTTTTACGTGACAACTCCAAAATCAGACAAAGCATAACTTTATAAGTCATTATGTCATGTTGAAAAGCAGAGGCTTTTATATCAACTCTTGTTTATAAGATATCCATGTTCGCACTACGAGTTAAGGGCTAGTCTTAAATTGTATCTGCATTCTTTCACATTCGGAAGACAAATATATAGTGTTACTAAATTATTTAACTTGTTGTCACAAGTTTTATACCCCTGTTTAAAAAGTAGGCGCGTGCCGATTTTTGGCCGCGAGAAAAAATAAAAATACTATCTCTCACAAGTATCAGTTACACACAGTAGCAGTTCAGAGTATTTGTAGCAGAGCGATGTATTTAAATAAGTGAATCCGAGGGTCAGAATCACCCTATAATAACATTACATTGACTCTGTGCCGGCTATTAGCCAGCTATTGTCTCTTAAACGATAATTATATTTCTATATTCAATAATTATATAAAAGTTATTTTCATTGGAAATTTCAAGATCAAATATTAAGACAGAGTATTTTTTAGATATGAAATCTATAGTAATATTATATACATATATGCGAAAATGTGTCTATCTCTCTGTTTGCCTTTTCACAATTTTACTTGAAGATAGATTGTATTTCTCACATGACTTTACCACTACTAAACTATTTATGTTATTATTACACTACTGATATTACAAGTACTATGGTATATTCTACTAATAGTGAATTTCAAAATCTCTCTCTTACAATTTAAACTGATTTGTAATGGGTGAGTATTATAAATGTAAGTAATATGTTTTCATTAAAAGAAACATTTTATTAATGCTAGTGATTCACAATAGGAACTGTGCTGTAATATATTACACCTATTGTATGTTAAAATGTAAAGTTGGTAATGTTCATCCGTAAATAAAATATTCCTAAATGTAAAATATAAGTAGATATTAGATATATTTCCTTTATAGTCATATAACTTTACTTACGCAAGTAAAAAAAATATAAAACAATATACCATATTTCACATCTCAGCGGGTCGACGCAGTTTGTATTTGCTCTCCGTCGGGAGGGGGTCATTACTAAACACCATTACATTTTTTGTGCCAAGTGTTTTGGTGGTATAACAAGGGTGAAAACGACCCTGCAAAGCGAACGATACACTCACAACAGCCTCCGTTTTTTATCATTTATGAGAAAGCCAAATATCGTTTTGTTTAAACTACTTTACCAGTTTTGTTCGAAATTCGTAATATATATGTAGTTTGATTTTTTTGCGGGGAAAGCACATACATATATTTATGTTTTTGTATTTGTATTATTTTAATGAGAGAGGATGAAGGTGTCTTCTGTCTGGTGTCGGTAATACCTGTTAATTACGTAATAATTGTGTAGATATATACTTACTTTATGACAAGTGTAGTGTGTGTCTATCACGAACTAATATTGTTAATTGCTAGTGAATTCATTACGAAGGACAGAGAGCTGACCGATTCCTCCTCATACAGTCATCAACCACTGGCCAGCGTACACAGTTGAATATGAAATATAAAATATATTATGGTAAACTTTACTTAAATTATAGTGATTGTTTTATTCCAATTGGTTCAAAAATTCAAGTTAAAAAGTTATAGGTATGATTACAAAATCTGGGATTCTTGTAGTACTTAATAAGAATTCTACATTTTCTTATATATTGTTGTATAGACGACCTCCCAAATCAATACAGCCTCCTGCCGAAATATACCCCAGAGAATGAAGCTCTTATAAAAAGGGTATAGATATTAAGGTTTCTTCGGGATCGGTACGCATGCGTGATCACACTGACAGTCATTAGATGTTATTAGGCCTCTGTGACATAAGTAAATATGAAATACTGTCTTCAATTTTATCGTTCATCTCCCACAATAAATATTCTTGGATGAGATGAATTAAGAAAAAATATGTCGTTATTACATCTTAATAGGCTGTTGGTGAGACATTAAATATAATGTAGATTCCATTAATTTTTTTTTTATTTAAATAACTTCAATGCTCGTCATACATAGGTAAAAAGTACATATGGCGGAGTTAACACCTAATGGCATTTTTCTACCAGATAACCATGAGTTGTGCAAAGATAAATTGTTGGCGTTGCAAACTATATTATAATAATCTTATAAATATATATTTATATTCAAGCAAAATTTGGGCAAAAGTAGATATAATTTATTATAGTTAACTAGTAGAACTATTAATTGAATTCCTCATATTGCACATTGGTATCTTATAATGGAAAATTGACTTTGAGTGATCACATAATTTCAAAAGGATAAAACGGAAGCGGTCCTCTTTACAGAATGACGGCGAGCGAATAAAGGTAAATAGCGCCGCTCGAGAGAATTTACTTGGCGAGAGCAAGCTAATGAAATGAAGTGAAAACCAAATTGGGGTTCGACGACCCGACAACGATCCCACTTTTGCAATTACTCGGAGAGAATAATTTAATGAGGGTCTATGAGAACCAACCAAACAAGACGTTATTTTATAAGTCGCGTCGCCACTTTACCACGCTAAAAATATCTACCAATTAAAGCAACTACCTTATGCAATAGTACAATTAATAATTGTTTAACAACAATTTTTATTTTATTTGATAGTACAGCAATAAATATCATTTTTACATTTATTTTAATTTTCTTGCAGTAGGTACTAACCTAACAAGACAGTAAACATTTGAACATAGTAGAAGGCAGAGAATATGATTATTACATCGGCAATAATTTATACGTACTTAACTCTTTTGTGAAATAAATTTCGCAATTTGACTAAGTGATCGCATAACATTTACATGCCCTAATACATTTGAATGCAGCGCTCAGAGAATTGTCATCAATCTTAACAGGGTGCGGAACGATAATGCGCACAACATATGGCGTCAACAAAGTACCTATACACCAACTACCCTGCCTATGCCTCGTTCCGCCTCGGTGCTACTGAATGGGCCCAAGTGACCCGCACCGACCTTACATACGGTTGTACTGTATTGCTCCCAAAATATAAAATAAAGATCCGATCTATAAGTGGACTCTAAAGTTTTACATCTATTGTGATGTCGTAGATATTCCAAATATTATCAAATGTCCCTTTCATGAAGCCATCAATGCTGTTCAATTGGCTCTTGTAACATTCGCATGGTTTATCAGACCAATTGAATAGCAGTGATATATGTTTACCATTTTGTAAATGACCCGCATCAGTTCTTTTATTTGTACTTCAGAACTACTTAAGAATATATCATAAAAGAATAAAATATTAATATAAATTAGGTACTATTCTTTATCCGATGATTATATGCGATACCGTATTATAAGTACCTAATATATGTAGGTATGTTATATCCTTTTACATATAAATACCTACTCTCAGTGAGGATGCTATAGTGATATGCCGGGGAGGGTCGTAGTGCTAAGTGCCGGGAGGCCACATGTCGCTCTCGTCGCGCTAATCTCCAGGATTTGCCATCCATATATTGTATCACCCATCTCTCTTTCTCAACAATAGGAATAATATATCTATCTCGTGCAGCTCATTGAATATTATTGCTCTATGGGGATTTTGAAAATATGGAGCCGTTTAGCAAAAGCCCTACATTGTATCCGTGTCGTGTGGAATTATTCATACGCGGCCCGTTGCATTTATCACTTAATGGCATTAGCTATTATGCCGTTTAATCGCTCGATTTGCAATTTTATAGGCTGGACATAATTCTATCAGTATGTGCACACTACATCTTATTTCATATTAAGATATAATATTGCAAGTTTTTCATACGCTTACCATTACCCATATCATCATTTAATATCGTATAATCTAAATATACATCAATAAGTATCTAATTATACCATCAGATATATATATATATATATATATATGTATTGAGTTATGTAAGAATTAAGAAAATGAAAAATTCTTCTCACGTAATTCTCACGTAACGATGAATATGAACTCTTACATATGTAAGAGTTATGAACCTTAAATGTGATCTAAATTGATTAATGAAATAATAATTTTTATTT